AAAAAGTTTTAAGAGTCACCAAACAGTGTCCCATCCAGCAGCAGGTGATGGTTGGGGTCTAGGGCACCAGTTATGCCTCAGAGCTCAGCCACAGCCTGATAGAACATGGTTTACAGAGATGTAGGAGTTGATGACATGACACAAGTGTCCACATATTTACTTTAGGAATTGGATGAAAAATAAGAGAGTGCACTAGAATACTCCCCAGAGAGGGCAGCAGGGTCAGTTGAGTTTTTCCAAGATTAGGGTGGGGGGTCAATCTCCCGATGTGGGGGAAGAAGGTCTGGACTAGAGGATGAAAGGTTAGATTGATTCTGTAATGATTAACTTAAGGAGGATACTCTGTCTTCCAATTAAATTCCAGGGACTATGTGGCTCAGTGATAAGATAATTGAAGGAAACCTGTGTAGTAGGCATGGCCTGTGGGGAAAGCCAGTGGCTTTGACTTTTTCTGAGATGGCTGCAGGACTCTGGGTTCCCCTGTTGGTGCTCAGGTTGCTACTTCTCTTGCTGTGTGTTGAGCCCTGGGCTGAGGGTGGGAAGGTGCTGGTGGTGCCCTTGGATGGCAGCCACTGGCTCAGCATGAGAAAGGCTGTGCAGGAGCTCCATGCCAGGGGCCACCAGGCAGTTGTCCTTGGGCCTGAGATAAATATGCACATCACAGGAGATGACTTCTTCACCCTGAAAACCTATGCCATTCCATACACCCAGGAAGAATTTGACGACCTCTTCGTGCTCCAGAATCACCTGATTTTTGAAAATGAACATTTTCTGAAGACGTTTTTTAAAATGATGACAATTTTTCCAACTATAGCTGCATTCTTTCAAAGGTCTTGTGAAAATCTTTTGCATAACAAGGACTTGATCAAGTATCTGAATGATAGCTCCTTTGATGTGGTTTTAACGAACCCTATTAATCCCTGTGGGACAGTGCTGGCCAAGTACCTGTCAGTTCCTGCTGTGTATTTTGTGCGTTTCATTCCATGTGGATTGGATTTTGAGGGCACGCAATGTCCAAACCCATCTTCGTATATTCCTAGGCTCTTAACAAGGAATTCAGACCACATGACATTTCTGCAAAGGGTCAAGAACATGCTCTACCCTCTGGCCCTGCAGTACTTTTGCCGTGTTTTTTTTGCACCTTTTGCAAGCCTTGCCTCTGAGCTCCTTCAGAGAGAGGTGTCTGTGGTGGACATTTTCAGCTATGGATCTGTGTGGCTGTTCAGAGGAGACTTTGTGATGGACTACCCTAGGCCGATCATGCCTAACATGGTCTTCATTGGGGGCATAAACTGTGCCAACAGAAAGCCACTCTCTGAGGTCTGTATTGATGCCCTTACCCAATCAATGTTCCAGGGGGAACACTTCTTTTAAAAACTTACTTTCAATTGCTTACTGATCTACCAACCTTTCTAGAGATTTCTACCTTTCATTCTCTTTCTAACAGCCTTCTGTGAGATAAACTGTGGAAGTGTCAACAGTAGTGTAGTTAACGTTTGGAATGGTCACTGAGAGGAATGAGAGGGGAGGTGAGGGTCCATAGCATGAATGACAAACAATGGTGTTCCTCAGCCAAGACTGTCCATTTGTAAAGGCACTGTCTTTATAGTCGTGTAATTTACTTCAATTGTGTAGGAGCCAGAAACTGAGTTGTGGAAGCCAGAGGCATATCTAAGACGTGGCAGGTATATAGCACACGTCCTGGGCACCACTGGGGGTGGGTTGGGGAAGGTGCCAACAAAGAGTTTCTATTAGCCATTGTAGTTTCCTTGGCCAGCTGTGAGAGATCATTCAGCAATTTAACACTAATTGCCTTCTATGCTATTTTCTGTTAGCTACGCCTCTGCCGGTGGAAGTGATCCATCTGGGGTTTATTGCTTGCAGGTGTTGAGTAGAAGGATGAAGGAATGAGCAAATTGCATTTGTTGACATGAGAGTCTTTAGAGGTCCCATCTTGAAAAGGTGGAGATGTGATGACAGAGGGGACTTAAGCACCCAAAGGAAGTAGAAGCTCCAAAGAGATTGAATAAGTTAAATGGAAGTCAGACAATTCCAGAGGGGAAAGATTGGGGGCCTGTGATCAGAGAAAGAAATAATGGAGTTCAACATTTCAGAGGTGGAATTTGTCTGACAGGATGTTGCCTGCCCAGGAATTGGTGCTTGGTGTAGAATGTGGGAACATACCAGACTTGGGAAGGCATTATGAAGGTTACATGTCAAATGGGTCTTCTTCGTGGGATGCTGAGATCATCAAAAGATGGTGGTTGGTGTTAGAGAGTAGATAAAACTATGACCCTAAGAACCCAGTGAAGGTAGAGACAGTGATCAAGAGAAGTGAACTTAAAAGGGGAGGGGATTGTTAGGAGGGGCTGACGACACCACCAAACCCACCCCAGCCCACCACACCCCAACGAAGCACAGGTTTTCATGGTGGGAACTACTGCTTTATGAATAATTGTAGAGACACTGTACATTAACCCTCAATATTTGGGTTTGTTGTTTTAAATAGGATTGTTGGGGGCTGAATTTTGTTTCTTAATTCACGGAGTGACCCATCTTTTTTGATTGGTGAATGCAGCTCATTTATGTCATCTGTTGTTGTTGTTAGGTGCTGTTGAATTCGTTACGACTCATAGCGACCCCATGTACAACAGAGTGGAACACTGCCCAGTCCTTCGCCATCCTCAAAATTGTTTTTTTGCTTGAGCCCATTGTTGCAGCCACTGTGTCAATCCATCTCGTTGAGGGTCTTCCTCTCTTTCACTGACCCTCTACTTTATCAAGCATGATGTCCTTCTCCAAGGACTGGTCCCTCCTGATAACATGTCCAAAATATATGAGACAAGTCTCATCGTCCTTATTCTAAAGAGCATTCTGACTGTACTTCTTCCAAAACAGATTTTTTCGTACTTCTGGCAGTCCATAGTATATTCAATATTCTTCACCAACGCCATAATTTAAAGGCCTCAATTCTTCTTAGGTCTTCTTGATTCATTATCCAGCTTTTGCATGCATGAGGGTCAGGTGCACCTTAGTCTTTAAAGTGACATCTTTGCTTTTTAACACTTTAAAGGGATCTTTTGTAGCAGATTTGCCCAGTGCAATGCATTGTTTGATTTCTTGACTGCTGGCTTCCATGGACACTGATTGTGGATCCAAGTAAAATGAAATCCTTGGCAACTTCAATATTTTCTCCGTTTATCATGATGTTGCTTATTGGTCCTGTTGTGAGGATTTTTGTTTTCTTTATGTTGAGGTGTAATCCGTACTGAAGGCTGTGGTCTTTGAACTTTATCAGTAGGTGCTAGGTGCTTCAAGTCCCGTTCACTTTCAGCAAGCAAAGTTGTGTCATCTGCACATCCAAGGTTGTTAATGAGTCTTCCTCCAATCCTGATGCACCATTCTTCTTCATATAGTGCAGCTTCTTGGATTATTTGCTCCTTCTTCCTAGTCTGTCTTAGTCTGAAAGCTCCACTGAAACTTGTCCACGAACGGTGAGCCTGCTGGTATTTGAAATACTTGTGGCAAAGCTTCCAGTATCACAGCAACACACAAGCCAACATAGTAAGACAAACTGACAGACACCTGGTGAATTTATATCATAGTCACCTAATTTATGTTAACTTCCCTGACTTTTGATCTGTTATAGCTGTTTTAGTCTTCCTCTCTACTTTTTTTTACTAATATATGTATTATTATAAAGGACTATAAACATCATTGTTTTCTGTTTCATCATACCATGGGGTATCTATTCTACTTGGTTTTCGTTTCCCTATATGCAATGTATTTATTCAATGACAAATTATACAGTAAAACCCACGAAAGCCAGAACTTGTGTAAGGCGGAAACCTGCCAGAGAAGGAAAACGCAAATATTTTCCACTAATAGAGACCGACAGAAAAGTGGTAAGACTGCACCTGTCAAAGGTGGAAACCTTGCGAGACCCTGAAAAACAAGGCAGTCCTGCCGAGTTCTGCTCTCACAGGTTTCACTGTATGTGTATCTATTAGGTTTGCACAAATGTTGAAAAACAGAAAGGCATTTTAAAAGCGTTGCTATTTTCTTTTAGTTTTTCCATGTGAATATGTTTTCAGGCGTTAACTGCATTGGTTCAAATCTCACTGCCATTTTTCCAGCTGGATGACCTTGGGAACAATACCTAACCGTTCTGCTTTGGTGCTGTCATAGTGAGCAGCCAATAAATATCAGTTGTTATCACTGTTATTACTACAAGTAGGACAAGGTGTGTCACCTGGAGACTAGCTAGATAACCTACTTAACTTCAAAGATCCATGATCCTTAACACTTAAAAAAATTTTGTTTCTTGTGAATAACACATATTTTTAAAACTCCAACCTGATGGTTTCTTTTCATGTAAGAATTCTGTCCATTCATACCATATATGTTTGACTTAATTTCTTCCATTTAGCATAAGTTCATTCTTTTTATTATATCTTATTTCTTTTTTTTTTTAAGTTTCCTTTTTCCTTGTTAATTCTAGGACACTTTTCCATTTCTGTATAGATGGAGACTGAATGCTTCTGTGTTTCTGCTGTGTATTTTTTGCGGTCATTCCATGCAATTTGGCTTTAAGGGCACCAAAGGGAACCCATCCCCATTCTCATATACTGCTTGAGTTTGTTAACAATACTTTTGGACCCCATGATTTTTCTGTGAAGAATCAAGGACATGCTGCATTTTTTGCCTTCCAGTTCAGTTGCCTTTTTGCTCTCAAGCCTTATGCAAACTTTTCCTTAGAGGTAACCATGGTGGATGGGACACTTTCTGATGCACTATCCCAAGGCAATTATGTCCCAAAAGGTTTTGACTGGGGGCGTAAACTGTGCCAAAAGAACACGACTCCCTCAGCTGCGTGTATAGTGCCTCACTCAGTCAATACTGCCAACTTCACCTGATATGAGCTATGTCCCATGCACAGTGGGAGGATAGTTTTGTGTAACCTTATGAAATGCTTTTATCACATTTGCAGATTCAGCCATAGTTGTAGAACCAAGCTGTGTATAGGCTGGGAATCTGATTTGTGTTTAGTTTTTGGGGTCGCCACTGTTGTTGTTAGTTGCCATCCAAGTTGATTCTGACTCATGGCGACCCCATGTGTGCAGAGTAAATGGCTCCATGGGGTTTTCAAGGCTGTGACCTTTCAGAAGCAGATCGCCTGTCTTCTGAGGTGCTTCTGGGCTATAATCTTGGGAGTTACTATCAGGAAGAGCAATGGGCGGTACAGGTCTGTGTTTGTGGGCTTGGGGCAGACTGAGAGCAAATGTGCGAGTCCTGATCAAGAGCCAAATCCAGAGTGAAGGGTTGGCAATGGGGATGGAGGCAGGAGGTTTGGGAGGTGACACCAGGGGGAAATCTTCTGGCTCTCTGATATGCACTGGACGGGGGTCAGTGTTGGTCTGTTTACCTATTTATAGTGTGGCTGTGCCCAAGCCTCACCTGAAAGTCTGCCAAAAAGAGGGCTGTTTGTGCAGATGACTTTCATCTCTGCCTTCATGTCAGCTTCTTGTATCCCTACCATTTCCTTTTTTTCAGGCTTCATAGTTTGTGCATTCTCACCTCTAAACATACATCTTCTAACAAATTTCTTGTTTCCTATAATACAGAACATACCTCCTCCTCCCCACCTGCCCCAATTTTCAGGATGTTTATCTTTTGTACTGCAGAATTCTTCGTAGGTCTTCCTTGGTATTACAGAGTATCTTTAGTCCTCCACCCCTTTGGGTGCTAACAGACTGCCAGTGTCAGATTTTTCTTGAATGATTGTACCAAATACATTAGTATTCACTTCCATGTTTTAAGCAAATGAAAAAGACCCACTGTGGTAGGCTGAATAATTGCCACCAAAGATATCCAGGTCCTAATCCCTGGTCCTCTGAATGTTACGTTAGATGGCAAAAGGGACTTGGTAGATGTGATTAAGAATGTTGAGATGGGGAGATTATCCTGAATTATCTGGGTGGGTCCTAAATGTAATCACAAAGGTCTTTATAAGAGGGAGAGGGAGATTTGACCAGTGACAAAGGAGACAATGTGAAGATTGAAACAAGATGCTATGCTGCTAGAGAAAGGGCCCAAGAGCCAAGGGCCCAGTGTGGCTCTAGAAAGTGGAGAACACAGGCATGACCCTGACAACACTTTGATTTCAGTCCAGTGAGACTGATTTTGATCGTCTGACTTCCCGAACTCTAAGAGAATAAATGTAGATTCTTTTAAGACACCAAGTTTGTGATAATTTGTTACAGCAGCTGTAGGCAACTAACACACCCATGCTACTAGGTTCACCTTTTTTTGAAAAGCCTAGGCTTAACATTAGGTAAACAATGGTCAACTCTCACTATGTCACCAGCATTCATGTGTGACTGAAAACTATCCTTAATTTATTTTAAACCAAACATATTACTAATATATTCTTATCTTTCATGAAACTAAACCAAACCCGTTGCTGTTGAATCAATTCTGACTCATGGCAACCCCGTGTGCGTCAGAGTTGAACTGCACTCCATAGGTTTTTCAATGGCTGCAGTCTTAGGAAGGCAGTCATTCAAAAAGAACAAGGGGATACTGTGTGGTTTAAAATCAGGAAAGGTGTGGGTCAGGGTTGTATCCTTTCACCATACTTATCCAATCTGTATGCTGAGCAAATACTCCAAGAAGTTGGATTATATGAAGAATGCGGCATCAGGATTGGAGGAAGACTCATTAACGACTTGTGTTACACAGATGACACAATCTTGCTTGCTGAAATTGAAGAGGACTTGAAGCACTCTCTGATGAAAATCATAGACTGTAGCCTTCAGTATGGATTACATCTCCACATAAAGAAAACAAAAATTCTCACAACTGGACCAATAAGCAATATCATGATAAATGGAGAAAATACTGAAGTTGTCAAGGATTTCATTTTACTTGGATCCACAATCAACACCCACTGAAGCAGGAGTCAAGAAACCAAATGACATACTGCATTGGGCAAATCTGCCTCAAAAGACTTCTTTAAAGTGTTAAAAAGCAAAGATGTCACTTTGAGGACTAAGGTGCGCCTGACCCAAGCCGTGGTATTTTCAACCATCTCATATGCATGTGAAAGGTGGACAATGAATAAGGAAGACTAAAGAAGCATTGATGCCTTTAAATTATGGTGCTGGTGAAGAATATTCAGTATACCACAGAGTGCCAGAAGAATGAACAAATCTGTCTTGGAAGAAGTTTAACCACAATGCTCCTCAGAAGCGAGGATGGTGAGACTTTGTCTCACATACTCTGGACACGTTATCAGAAGGGATCAATCCCTGGAGAAGGACATCATGCTTGGTAAGAGGTTCGGCAAGAAAGAGGAAGAACCTCAGAGATGGATGGACACAATGGCTACAAGAACAAGCTCAAACATAGCAATGATTGCGAGGATGGCGCAGGACTGGGCAGTGTTTTGTTCTTTTGTACACCAGGTTGCTATGAGTTAGAACCAGTCCGGGGACACCTAATAACAACAACAATCTTATGAAAGTAGATCACCAGGCCTTTCTTCTGTAGCATCACTGGGTGGGTTTGAACCACAAACTTTTCAGTTAGTAGCTGAATGCAAACCATGCGTGCCACCCAAAGACACCTTATTTACCACTACTGAATCCTAAAATATGGAGCCCTGGTGGCATAGTGCTTAAGGGCTTAGCTGCTAACTAAAAAGTGGGCAGTTCAAATCTACCAGCCACTCCTTGGAAACTGTATGGGGCAGTTCTACTCTGTCCTACAGGATCACTACGAGTTGGAAACGACCCCCTCACACCTAACAACAAAGCACTAAAACATTGACCTAATATGATTGATCTTGACAACGTTAACTTCACAGCAAACTACCTGGCTCACACTTCTAACAAAACGCGAAGGCAAAATTTAGGCGGCTGGGGTGAACTTTTGGTCCTAGCCCTATGAACTATTCATCATCTGCTTTGGGGTTAAGTTTAATAAACAGCAGACTGCATCCAGCTGTTAACATCAGCTGTAAAGACAAACAGCGGTCCTATTCACGCGGTCCCAACAATAATGACAAACAGGCGTTTGCACGAACTGTTTATAAATTCTTGAGTACAGGTGTTCTGAAAGCAGAGTTCACGTACAATCTTCAAAAAAAAAAAAATGTCCTGCTATTCCTTAAAATGTGCGTCACAGCCACAGCGGACTGAAGTTACTGAGTGTCAATGCGCAGCAACTGCTCTTTGCCGTTTATTATCAGGGACTTTAACTCTCCGTCTTCTTCCACTTCCACCCTTTCTTGGCCATTCTCGATGATTCTCTTAGTGGTGATTTTTTTGCCATTCACTATTTCGGTGGAAGTCGACATGGATTTGAAGTTGCCGGACCTACCACTCCCACAGGACATGGCGAACGACGAGAGGCCCCCACTTCCCATGGAACCAAAAGAAGTCAGTTCTGTATCAAAAGCAGAAAAACCACTCCCAAAAGCTGGAAATTCACTGAAGGTGGAGAAAAGGGACCCTCTGCTTCTGCTTCCCCGGGAGCTTCTCCGACTCCCCCACATGTTCTCAAGTGGGTCTCCGAAGAAGTCAAACGAAAACGGGTCCCTGCCACCGAAAAACTCCCTGAAGACCTCGGCTGGGTCGCGGAAGGTGAAGACGAAGTCGAAAGGGTCGTCGAAGGGCCCGCCGCCGCCACCATCCACCGCTGCTTTGCCGTATCTGTCGTAGACATCCCGTTTCTGGGCGTCTGCCAACACCTCGTACGCCTCGGCCACTTGTTTGAACCTCCTCTCCGCTTCCTCCTTGTTTTCAGGATTTTTGTCGGGGTGCCACTTGAGCGCTAGCTTGCGGTACGCCTTCTTGATGGCCTCAGACGAGGCCTGCCGGGGCACGCCCAGCACTTCGTAGTAGTCCACCATGTTGGACGTCGGGGCACACAGGGATGGCAGCCCAGCGAGGCTTCTCCCGGCTTCGGCGGGCCTGGGGCCACGGCACGGCGACCGGCGCGGCTGGCAGCCCCAGGGATCGGACTCAGCGCCCACCGTGGCTAGGTTGCTGGGGACCGCGGTCCTTGTGACGCAGGCGGCGTCTCATTGGCCGGTGGCACCTTTGACTCCATGTCCCAGAATGCAGTGCGCCCGAGGCTTGCCCCACTCCCTACGACGCGCTTATGACGGGATTCACGCTTGGCCATGGCGGCCCCGCCCATCTCTGGCTCCGCCCATCCCACTGTCTGCGCCTACCTACCTGGCTCCACCCACATGGGTTGCCAGGGGTGGTCTTCAAAGCTGTTGCCGTGGCGTGGGTTCCAACTCTTAGTGACCCAATAGGAAAGAGTAGAGCTGCTCCATAGGGTCTCCGAGGAGCGCCTGGTGAGTTCAAACTGCTGACCTTTTGGTTAGCAGCGGAGCTCTTAACCGCTGCGTCACCAGGGCCCCAATCTTCAAATAGAGTACTAAAAACGGGAACTTAAAGGGCTTTGAAGGAGCTCTTGTGGCTCAGTGGTTAAGAGCTCCGCTCCTAACCGAAAGTTAAGTAGTTTGAAACCACAAGCCGGTCCCAGGGAGAAGGATGTGGCAGTGGGCTTCCCTAAAGATTACAGCCTTGGAAACTCTATGGGGTAGTTCTACTCTGTCCTTTAGGGCCTCTGTGAGTCGGCAATGGGTTTTTTGGTTAGTGGGTCTTGAAGGATACCTGGTGGCTCAATGGTTAAGCGCTAGTGGTTCCACCATCTGCTCCCGGAAAGGATTACAGCCTTGGAAGCCCTGTGGGGCAGTTCTCCTGTGTCCAGTAGGGTCGCGAGTTGGCATTGACTCGATGGCACCCAGCAACACCACCGACAGTGGACCTTCATTCTGGCTGCTGTGGAAAATGTTTTTCTTAAAGTAGGTTTTAATGTCAGGCTTTTCCCAGTGGCCTGGGGCAGTGGGGGCATGATGGGAGTGAGTTTAGTCTGACCCAGAGCTCAAGAAAAGGACAGTGATATGGTTTGTCTAGGACAGCAGTTCTCACACTATTTGGGCCCAGAACCCATTTCCTTTTGTTCATGTGAGTTTTTGCCGTCAATACTTAGTGCATTCGAAATGAAAACTGAGAATTGAAACAATATTCATTATGCAATTTCATAATAACAATAAACCCACTGCATGCTAACATAAACCACATGTTTATGAACAAGTAAAGGTGTTTTTCAAAACCCAAAAAAATCAATGAAAGAGAGGCATGGTTTTACATGTTTTTGCAATTCTCTTTAAAAAAAAAAAAAAAAAAACCAAACCCGTTGCTGTCGAGCCGATTTCGACTCATAGCAGCCCTGTAGTATCTCTTTGTATCGGGCTTAATAGAAGACAGCTGGATTCTCATGTCTGCTTCTGTGTTCAACCTCTTGCTCTATCTCACATCATACCGTCTCTGGAAAACTCTACTGTACACTTAACGGGAGAATGAGGGTGAGAAAGGCACACATCATTATTATGGAAATAGTTCTGACTTGGCAAAATTCCCCTGAAAAATTCTTGGGGACACCCAGGGTTCCCTGGACCATCCTTTGAGAACCTCTGTTCTAGTATATTAAAATCTACTGGCCGTATTTATAGTGCTGTGGCTAAACCTGAGAAGCAATGGTTAGTTCCCCTAAAACTGCTTTGTCATGACCAGGACTTTCTTTTTGCATTTCTTGGTGTGTGACAAGATGGCCAATATCATGGCCACTTGTTTGAGTTTTCTGCTTTCTCATCATTCCCTTTGATCCTATATGCTTTGATAAACTGTGAGGCAACAGCAATAAAAGTCAGTTCCAAGAGGAAAATGATTAACCAATGAACTTTCTAACATTCGTCATAAAGGGTAGTAGCTCCAAAGGTAGGGAATTGTTACCTCACCAGGACAAATAACTGACTTGATGTTACCCAGAGAAAATGAACAGGCCCTGGACTTGGCACTTGGTGATCAACCAGGAGTAAGGTCCAGTGTGAACCACGAAAAGTAGGAAGGTATAGAGCATGTTTGGGAGGGACAAATGATCCTGAATGGAAGTAGGGTAGAGGCAGAGGGAGAGGTTCAAGAAGAAGGGCTAGAGAAGAGGAATGAACTTGGATAGGTTGGCCCAGGGGCCATTCCCAGGGAGTTCTGAAGGCAAGGCTGCAGAGTTTGAATTGTATCCTAGGCCATGGGAAGCTATTGGCCAAGGTTGTAGAGGTGGTGGGAGTGGGATGGGGCAGGGGCAGCTGATGTGGTGAATCAGAGGTGAGAGATGAGGGTGAGAGGCCGAGCCCATAATTTAGGTTGGTGATCTGAGGTCCTGAAACAGGACCCTGGCAGCTAGGTCTGAGAGAGAGTGGTGGAATGATCCAGATTCAGCACTTACTGGATACGGGGCCTAGAGCAAAGGGAGAGGTGAAGTCACATCCATACAGAACAGGTTTCTGAGGGCCTGCTCTCTGCAAAACAATGGGACTGACCCTGGAACGAAGTGATTCAAAAGCTGAAGCCTTGCCTACAAGCAATATACAGTCTGGTAGTACAGACCGATATCAAACTGCTAACTAGGACAAATGTAGCATAAAACGAGGACTTTGGTAAAAGCAGGGCCCTTGTGGTGCAGTGGTTGAGAGCTATGACTGCTAACCAAAAGGTCAGCGGTTCAAATCCACCAGCCACTCCTTGGAAACCCTATGGGGCAGTTCTACTCTGTCCTATAAGGTCGCTATGAGTCAGAATCAACTCGACAGCAGCGAGTTTTGGTAAAAGTGGAAGCAAAATGCTACAGAGAAGCAAGGAAGACAACTTTGCTACCCGCCAGAGGGTCCCATAGATTATCCAGAGGGCAATGGACTTGCTTATGTTGTTTCTTTCATTCAGTAACAACCAGCTTCGACCTGATCAAAGGGGCTAGGAGGGTTGGAGTGTTGGGCTACTAACTACTGGCTTCACTGTAAAAAGAGAGCACCTCTTTAATTAGGTGCCAGGATGTTTTCACCAACACCCAGCTCTTTGGTAGCCCCCAAAGTCAGACCACGTAGGTGCCATATTCATAGGGCTGAGGATGTGTGTCCTACACCAGAGCACATCTCAGCCTGCCCTGATATTGCCAGGTTGTGAGTTTGTCATTGTCCACTGGGCAGCCCCTTAAGGGCAGGGACCATTCCTAACTTGGTGGTCTAGCCTCAGTTCCTGGCATAATGCCTGGCACACAGTAGGGTCTACACTTATAATAAATATTTGGTGAATGAGGGAATTAACAACAGATTTTAAGTGTCAGGTCTGCTTGGGTTCTGGGGGAAGGAGCTATATTGAATGGCTTAGTAATGGTTCTCAGTTGTAATTGTTGAGATTGAAGGTGGATTGTCTGGTATTCAGATTGGTAAATAACACTCCCAGGCACCGAACTGTTCAGCTACACAGTGGCCTCAAAGTTTGGACAGGTAGTGACTGTGTGTGTTTGCCGTCCCTTTGCCCTGTGTAATCTGCAGATGAACTCTCATGGCATCCAGACTTTGGAAGAATTATGGCCCCTAAAGTTTAAATTGGACTTTGAATTTCAGAATTGCAGATAACCGCATACCAAATTGCAAAAGAATTGCTACTTCTTTTTCGCTCATCCCAGAATTTAGGTCATAGACAATGGAGAGTGCTTGGGGAAGGGAGGAGGAACTTTGGGGTGCATGTGTGTATTTGTGTGTGTACGTGTGTGTGTGTATATATACTCATCCACATGTAAGCACATATAAGATTGAAGGATGGTAGTCCAGGGAGAAGAGACTCTAAGTGCCTACACTAAGTACCTGAAAGATAGGGTTGTGCTTATATGTCCCACAGAACCGCCACCACCACTACTGCCAGTTGCTATTGAGTTTATTCCAACTCATGGTGACCCCAAGTGTGTCAGAGTAGAACTGCACTTGATAGGGTTTTCAACGGTTGATTTTTCAGAAGTAGATCATCAGAACTTTGGGTGGACTCGAACCTCCAACCTTTCAGTTAGCAGCCAAGCACGTTAACTGTTTGCACCATCTAGGGACTCTAAAACTTTGAAGACAGCAGCTTTCTCCATGCCCCTCCTAGCACATCCCCAAGTATGAGTGGCCAGTGATGTGCATTGGTGAAAATGCTGGGGACTATGCTTTCATCCTGGGATTGTACAGAGCAGCAATGGATCCTCAAAGAACAGAGTAAGATGCTTAGTACTGTCTGCACTCTATTTGCTGCCTTTCTTCTGGAGGGCCGTTTCTGTTCAGTGACTGTCGTACTTATTCCTGACCTTCCCTTGCTCTCCTGGGACACCCACTGGTGCTAGGTATTGCTGTGTGAGCTCTTTCTACTTGTCTTCAAAGTCCTGCCGTATGCCTTCTCTCCACTTATTTTGACTGGGTAATGACTGTGGGGAATCACAACTTTACTTCTGACTTTTGTTATTTGTTGTTGTTAGTTGCCACTGAGTTGGTTCCAACTCTTGGCGACCTCATGTACAACAGAATGAAATGTTCCCCAGTCATGCGCCATCCTCATGATCTTTGATATGTTTGAGTCCATTGTTGTGGCTATTGTGTCATTACAGATCTCTCTCATTTTTGCTGACTCTATCAAACATGATGTCCTTTTCTAGCCACTGGTCTATTCTGATGACGTGTTCAAAGTGAGTGAGCGGGAGTCTCTCCATCTTTGCTTCTAAGGAGTGCTCTGGTTTTATTTCTTCTAAGACTTATTTGTTTGTACTTCTGGCAGTCCACAGCATGGCAACGGGTTTTTAATCCCCGGAGGACATCATGCTTGGTAAAGTAGAGAGGGTCAGTGAAAGACAGGAAGACCCTGAGTGAGACGGTTGACACAGTGGCTGCAACAGTGGATTCAAACAGCAACAATTGTGAAGATGGCGCAGGACCAGACCAGTGTTTTGTTCTGTTGTACATAGGGTTGCTATGAGCCAGAACCGACTCGACGGCACCTAAAAACAACACCCTCACAAAGGTACCATGTACCTCATTTGCATTATTAACAAACTGTTCAATCCTCTTGGTGGGCCACAAGCACCTTATTAGCATAGTCCCGCCCAATCATTTGGTGAAAGTTATAAAACCATAGCAAGAAAGTCCATGTAAAAGTGATCTGTTGCACAACTGCACAAAAATTTTATAGACAGTCATTTTGGTGTCACCCCCTCTGACAGTGTCACCCAGTATGGTCCATATCCCCCACACCTCCCTAGTGATGCCACTGCTTCCCTTTCCCCCTGTTTATTTCCTTCTTAACATTTTTCACTATTTCTAATGTCTCTGTGGAGTCCCTGGGTGGACAGAAATGGTTAAGTGCTTGACTACTAGCTGAAAAGTTGGTAGTAGGAACCCATCCAGAGGTGCCTCAAAAGACAGGCTTGGTGATCTACTCCCAAAAGGTCACAGCATTGAGAACTCTATGGAGCAGTTCTACTCTGCACACATGAGGTCGCCGTGAGTCGAAATCTGCTTGACTGCCACTAACAACAAATCACTGTTTCTGTTTACTTTGTCTGTCTACCTTGATGGACCATGAGTTCTGGAAAGGTGGGAGCCTCATCTGTCAGGGCCATGGCTCTAGCCTCAAGGCCAGCACCAGGCTGGGACTAAATGAATATTTGCTGGATGAACGAATAAAATAATGATGCGAGTGGTAGGGCAGACCTCTGCATGAGCCACAGAGAAGGACAATTCCTGAAGGTTTCCATGGACCAAAGGTGGGGCTGGCAACGCCATGTTCTTCTCTTTCTAAAAAGACATAGTCAGCTTTCTGGTTCATTTCTGAAGAGGAAGTCTGACTGGTTGCACAGTAGTCTTGTTTGCTTTCAGGTAACATTCTTTTCATCCATAGAGAGACTAGTGAGATGAAGCCAAAGGTGCTGGAGATCCTTTGCCTTCTTGTGGTCAGTCAAGAATAGGGCTTGAATGGTTGATAAGGAACACCAGCCAGTTAAACAGGCATTGCCTATTAAGAAACCCAGTGAAGCTCCACTCTCTTTATCTCTAAAAGTAAACTTTCTACTCTCTTTGGCTGAATGACAGCCTCATTGTGTGATAAAAAGCAAAAGATTAACTTGGTGTATAGACTGGTTTTTGCAACATGTAATTGGGAGACAGAGGATCTTTGGCAGAGAGATACTCTCGGTAGCAAATGCCTCTTGCCATGGCTGCAGGGTCGCAGGGTCTGCTTCCGCTCATCCTGGGCCTGATGCTGTGTGTGCTCAGTCCCGAGGGGTCCCAGGGTGGGAAGCTGCTGGTGGTCCCGATGGACGGCAGCCACTGGCTCAGCATGGTTGCGGTCATCCAGCAGCTGCATCAGAGGGGACACGAAGTAGTCGTGGTGGCCCCCTCCTCGTCTGTGTTCATCAAGGAAGGAGCATTTTACACCTTGAAGAAGTTCCCTGTGCCCTTCCAGAAGGAGGACATAGAAGCGATTTTTACCGGTTTTGGGTATGGTGTTTTTGAGAATGAGCCCTTTTTACAGCGTGTGATCAAAATGTACAAGGGAGCCAAAAAAAATGCTGCTGTGTTGTTGTCTGCCTGTTCCCACCTACTGCACAACGAGGAGCTCATGGCCTCCCTGGCGGCCGGCGGCTTCGAGGCTGTGTTGACAGACCCTTTTCTTCCTTGCGGCCCTATTGTGGCTCAGTACCTGTCCCTACCTGCGGTGTACTTCCTGAACGGACTGCCGTGCAGCTTGGACTTCCGCGGTACCCAGTGCCCCAGCCCACCATCCTATGTGCCCAGGTCTCTGTCCATGAACCCAGATCACATGACCTTTCTGCAGCGAGTGAAGAACATGCTGATCACCTTCATTGAGCCCTTCCTGTGCAATGCGATTTATTCGTGGTATGCGTCACTAGCCTCCGAAGTTCTTTGGAGAGATGTGACTGTCCAGGACCTTATGAGCTTTGGATCTATCTGGCTGCTCAGACATGACTTTGTAATGCAGTATCCCAGGCCTACCATGCCCAACATCGTTTTTATTGGTGGGATCAACTGCATTTCCCAAAAACCGCTATCCCAGGTGTGTATCTGAGTGGAAGCTCTACATGCCTACATTCTTGCAAGTTCTTTTGTATAGGTGAACTTGCCACAGGTATATGCTGAACGGGCATGCTGAGATAGCTTTTAGTGCCCTCTTTGGTTAATTTCTACCTTGCCAGTCTCCTAGGTCTGAGTAGTAATTTATATCTGCCATTTAACATCATCTTCTGGGTTCTTTGTGAGACTTGAGGAAATTATGTTGTTAGTTGCGGTTGTGTTGATTCTGACTCATGGCGACCCCATGTATACAGAGTAGAACTGCTCCATGGGGTTTTCAAGGCTGTGACCTTTCTGACACAGATCACCAGACCTGACATCTGAGACACCTCTGGGTATGTTCAAAACACCAACCCTTTGGCTAGTAATTGAGTGCTTAACTGTTTGCACCACCCAGGGACTTCCACATAGGGGTTCTTGAAAAACAAAAGACATTTGGGAAGGGAAAATCGAACAAGAAACCTGGAACTAAAAATACTTAATTCTTAGCAACACCTAGGCACTCTTTTAAAGGTCTTGTCCTGGGTAGGCAAGTCTCATCAGAGTGGGGAAGTGAAATATTCAGGGGTCTCATCTTTTCTGTTTTTATTTGTTTATTTAAAATTTTTTTTATTGTACTTTAGATGAAGATTTACAGAACAAATAGTTTCTCATTACACAATCAGTACACATGTTGTTTTATGACATTGATTAACAACTCCATGACACGTCAACACTCTCCCTTCTCGACCTTGGAGGACCTTTTTTTTGGTGAAAATATACATAGCCAAAGTTACACCATTTCAAAAGTTTCTACATGTACAATTCAGTGACATGGATTACATTCTTCCAGTTGTGCTGCTATTCTCACTATCCTTTTCCAAATTGTTCCATCACCATTATCTTCAACTCACTGCTCCCCAGGCTACCCATCAAACCTTTTGAGTTGCTGTTGTCAATTTGATCTCACATCGATAATTCTTTTATTTTTTTCGTACCTTAGATGAAGGTTTGCAGAACAAATAGTTTCTCATTAAACAGTACACATCTTGTCCTATGACAATGGTTAACAACCCCATGACATGTCAACATTGTCGCTTCTCAACCTTGGGTTCCCTATTACCAGCTTTCCTGTCCCCTCCTGCCTTCTGGTCCTTGTCCCTGGACTGCTGTGCCTCATTAGTCCCATTTTGTTTTCATTTCTTTTGTTTTTGTAGGTTTTATTTTTACTGAGACTTTATGTTTTTCTTCTTTATTTTGATAAGCAAGTTTGTTAACTTTCTGTGGTTACCTTGAAATTTACCCTTATCTTCCTAGATTTGAAGCAGTCTATCATTACTTGGTATCACCTTGCCTTCCTCTCCATTGGAAGGTTCTATACCTACACCGTTTATTGCCTCTTTTATTGTTCTGACGCTGTTATCATTTACAGATTAACCTCTCTGGTTCCCTGTTGTAACTCTTTTGGTTTTGCATAGTCCTTAAAAGTTCATTTCCTAGGTTGGTATCTGGCTAGTACAATCCTGTGTCCTATATTCAGCCTGTGGTCTGATGTTGTTTGTTCTCAGATCAAAGGACTCCCTTTAATAAGTCTTGTAAGTTTGGTTTTTACGTAGTCCCTTAATTTCTGTTTATCTGGAAATGACCTAATTTCACTATCATATTTAAACGAGAGTTTTGCAGGATATATTATTCTTGGCTGGCAATTTTTTTCTTTCAAGGTTTTATGTATGTCATCCCATTGCCTTCTTGCCTGCGTGGTTTCTGCTGAGTAATCCAAGCTTAGTCTTATTGTTTCTCCTCTGTATGTGACTTTTTGTTTTTCTCGAGCTGCTCTCAGGATTCTTTGTCTTTGGTTTTAGCGAGTGTGATTATGATATGCCTTGGTGATTTTCTTTTGGGATCTATCCTATATGGGGTTCGTTGAGCTTCTTGGGTGGTCAGCTTTTCATCTTTCATGATATTGGGGAAGTTTTCTCTCAGCAATTCTTCAATGATCCTCTCTGTTTTCTGTTTTCTCCCCCTGTTCTGGAACTCTGATCACTCGCATATTTTTGCTTTTGATTGTATCCCACATAATTCTTGGGGTTTCTTCATTTTTCTTGGTTCTTTTTTCTGATTTTTTCTGAAACAGAGTTGTATCCAAGTGCTTGTCTTCAATTTCACTGATCCTCTCTTCCATCATTTCACACCTGCTCCTCAGCCGTTTTATGACACTGTCCATTTCTGAAATCTTGTCGTTTATCTTTTGGAATTCTAATTGTTGTTTTGTATGATTTCTAGTTGTAAATTTATTTTAGCATTTTGTTCCTATATTATTTTGTTGAATTCTTCCATTTTTTGGTCTGTATTTTCCATGAATTTGTCTGCCTTTTCCACGAATTTATCTATTTTTTCCTCATTTTTGTCTGCTTTTTGCTTCAACTCTTGGATAATTCTGAATATTAGAGATTTGAATTACCTATCAGGTAGTTCTAGTGCCTTTTCTTCTGCTGGAAGGTCATGTGTAGTTTTATTTTGGACACCTACTGGAACCATCCTGACCTGTTTTTGTAAATGTTTTGATATTGTCTGCTGTCTTCCGGGCATTCAGTGGTTATTTTCCTCGTTTATTGATTATAGATTTGTTTGTTTCATCCTGCTTTTTTGTTTTATTTGGTTATGTCTGAGCAAGTGGGCTGTGCATTCTTTGTGTTTGCTCATCTGTGGGCACGATACTTTTCACCTCCTTCTCCAATTGGCAGGGTCAGTCACTCAGGTATGGTACAGCAGGACAGGTCCAGCTGAAGGGGAGTTACTAGGATGGGTTGTTTGTGGCATGTACTGGGGCTGACAGTGTGGACTGGGAATCAGCACAGGGCAGGTTCCAGCAGGCCATGCCTGTGCTGCTTGGGAGTGTGATGTTTAGCGCATGGTGCAAGTAGGCAGGAAGGAGGGGGTAGACTGTGATGTGTGGAGCTAAGATGGGTATGGGAAAGATGAGAGAGAGGAGAGAGGAACAGGAGCCAAAAACTTACACACAAACAAAAAAGAGTGCTAAGGGAGCTTGCTATTGGAGTGGAGAGATGAGAGACTGAGAAATGGGGAAAAACAAAAATAAAAAAAAGAAAAAGGGTAAAAAAATGAATAAATCTAGAAACTGGAAATGAAAGACAAAAAGGGAATAAGAGAGAGAAGAAAACAAAACAAAGAAACAAAAAAAAAAACCCAAAAACCAAAAAAAGTAAAAAATAAAAAACAAAACAAGAAATAAGAAATGCTCCCAGAGATGTCCCTGTGCATCTGCGCAGAGTAAGGGAGTAGCTTCCGAGCTGCGCGGTACTACCTGGCTAGAAAGAGCTCCCAAGCCGAGAAAAGAAAAAGAAAACAAACAAATCAAAATGGAAGAAATGAGAGCAAACAAACAAACAAAGAAGCCCCGGAGGTCCCACCAGCGTGGCAGCATGGGCCAGGAAGCAGTTTCACAGTCAAGCGGTGTTTTGCAGCCTTTCAGGAAGAAGCAAAGATGGTGCTCTGAGCCAGGTATTTGAGAGGAAGAAGGGGGAGGTGGCGAGAGGTAAGGAGGAAAACTAAAGAAGTGGAAAAAAGCAACACCAGCAGCCAACAAAAGGCACTCAGGGAGCCGGCCAGTGTGGGCAGGTGGAATCCAAGCAACAATGGGGTAAAGCTGGTGCTTCCCGGCCAAGAGACTGTGGCTGCAGGAAGCAGAGGAGGCTAAGTGGAGGTGAAGAAGGGTGGGGGGTGGGAAAGCCTATATTGCTGGTTACTGGTTGCTCTATCTCCTGCTGGAAGCTCTGTTGAGTTGCTTTCTTGTACCTCCTGTTTGCTAATCTTTGATAGGAGTCCAAGATGATGCATCCATGCTGCGGTAGCTGATAGGCGACCTCTGCGTGTATCTCTTCTCACTCTCTGTTCTCGGTCCGTTTCTTATTCCATTTGTTGCTTGGCTGAGTTCTTTATCTCTTCGTTTGATGAATAGGGTTTCAGGCTTGATGTGTGACTCTGTTTGACTTAGTTTGTCTGATCTTTGCTGCAGAGGGACAGCGTGGTGCTTTTGACTGTAGCACCATGTTGTCTGGAAGTTGGTCTTGTCTGTTTTGGAAGGGGATCAGTAGTGTAGAAATCGAGGATTATTTTCAGTGAGCTCCTTGCTTCACTCTTTGGCTGTACAAGAGGACTGTGAAGTCAGGGTGAGGTCTAGGAGGAGTTCTGCCAAGTAGGGCGTGGACTCAACTTTATTACACCCTATAAATGCTAGTCCAGAGCTAGGAATTGGCCATGATAACACAGTCTCCAGAGTTAGTCCTGCTGTGATCTGTAGATGAACTTTTGTACCATTTAAACTTTAGCCTAATTCTGCTGTTCAACCTTAAATGTTTATGGACCTGTGGGTTAGATTTTGTGTTAATCATACCTTGGTGGTCGCCAAGTGGATATGGGAAGATGTGGAAGGAACTGAAATTAGACTAGTCCCTTTTCAGACAAGGTTAAACTCAACAGTGGGTTTCATGAAGGAGGGAAGTCTGTAGGAAATTTAGGTAAGCCATATACCTAAACGTCACTCAGTAGAAAGACGTTTGAGAGTGCTTGGAGATGAAGTGTCTCTCCCTGAGAAAGAGAGAGAGGCTAAGGGGAAGACAGATGTAGCATGCATCCTAGGACTTCAGGGGAAAAAAAAAACAAAGAAACCCTGAAGATGTTTTTCCCACAAACCAAAAATGCAGTGTGGCTGGCGTTGGGGAGGATGACTCTTGCGTACTTGACTTTTTAGATATACCTGATGGGAAAGGCCAAGATAGCAGCTTTGAGCCAGAAGACTGCAAAATGGCCTGGAGTTGGTGATGGTGAAGGCAATGAGGTTGCCATAGGAAGGCTCGTCATGCTTCGAAAGATTGTTAATTATTGATTCAATTTCATTAATAGACATAGGCTTATTCAGGCCATGCTCAGAATCAAGCCTAGAAGAGGTCACTGTTAACGTTGTGTTTGCCTTGTCTTGTATCTCACATCTAGATGACCTACAATCCTGTCCCAGAGTTAGTACTGAAGGTCCTGTGTCCTGGGAAACCGCTTGGTCTTCGGCAAATGCTGCCACATCACGTGATTTCATTCATGTCTTCAGCATTCTTTGGAAGCATATAAAATCATTTGGGAGACACTTGAGAAAGTTAAGTAGATCATTAGTGGTCTGTAGCTGGAGAAGAATTGCCATACTTATGCATTGCCCTGTTTCTTCTAAGTGGATTACCACCGCGTGTGTATGTGTGTGTGTGTGTTTCCTTAAGATGGAAGTACTTTTAAGTTGGCTTTGAAGATTGGGGAGCAGTCAGGTTGAGCTAAGATTATTGCTGAATCCAGGTGTTTCCTTACTCTCTTTTTGGGGATACACCAGCCACTCTCAACTGCAGAATCACCTCTTTCAACTCTGTAGCTAATGTTGGTGTTCTTCTGATTAAGAACAAAACAAAAACAAAAACAGTTGCTGTCAGGTCAATTCTGACTCATGGTGACCCTGTATGTGTCAGAGCAGAACTGTGCTCCACAGGCTTTTCAATGGCTGATATTTTGGAAGTAGATTGCCAGGACTTTCTTCCAAGGTGCCTCTCAGTGGACTCAAACCACCCACCTTCCAGTTATCAGCCAAACTCATTAACAATTGGCACCACCCAGGGACTCTTTTTCTGATTGGAATCATCTTTTTGTTGTATCCTTCAGAGCTTTTGTTGCTTGAGTTCCATCTCTAAAGCCTATTCCTTGTTACTTTGGGGAGAAATCTTTGCTAGGTACTAATCTTTAATCTGTACTTGATAACTGGGAATCTTGCTATCAGTGTTTCTCACCCCCCAACACGCAGACACTGTCTAAAATCCCATCCTCCTGCTTCACAAATTGCTTGTTTTTTAGTAGTTGTGACATTCATTTGTTGTTGTTAGTTGTTGCTGAGTTGGCTCTGACTCATGGCAGCCCCATGCACAACAGAACAAAAGGTTGCCTGGTCCTGTGCCGTCTTCATGATCATTGATATGCTCAAGTCCATTATTGTGGCCATTGTGTATTTTGAGTACCTTCCAACCCAGGGGGCTCATCTTGCAGCTCTGTATCAGACAATATTCTGTCGTGATTCATAGGGTCTTCATTGGCTAATTTTTGGAAGTAGATTGTCAGGCCTTTCTTCCTGGTCTGTCTTAGTATCAAAGCTCCACTGAAACCTGTCCACCATGGGTGACCCTGCTGGTATTTGAAATACTGGTGGCATCGCTTCCAGGATTGTAGCAACGTGCAAGCCACTACAGTACGACAAACTGACAGGTAGGTGGTATTAAACTGGCAGGTTAATAGCTTTCATTATTAACTAGAAGATCAATCATAGTTTAGCATTCAGACTCACTAGATTAAAAAAAAAAAATCACTCCTTGATAAAAAAAAAGATGGCTTAGTAGCAATAGAATGCTATTAGCAATTAGGAAGGACTTTGAATCAATTCAACCGACTGCTCACCTCTGGCTCCCTGTTTTCTGGTGATGCTGTCTTTCAAACCAGTTACGTCATCCAGGCTCAGTCTCTCTCTCTGTATCTATCTATATATGTATATATGTGTGTATGTGTATATGTATGCATATATGTATATTTATATACGCATATACACATATATACCTTTAACCCAGAAAGGCCTTGCAATCTACTTCTGAAAATAAGCCAATGAAAACCCTGTGGACCAGGTGGCCTTCCATTGTGCATGGGGTCACCATGGATGGCCGCTAACAATAATAACAGCAACAACATACCCTGAACCTTATTCTTAAGAGGAAGGTATCTGATTCATGGCTTAATGTATGTAATCACCAAAGACTAGGAGACAAAATTCAATGGAGATTTCTCTTCTGACTCTAGGAATTTGAAGCCTATGTGAATGCCTCTGGAGAGCATGGAATTGTGGTTTTCTCTTTGGGATCAATGGTCTCACAGATTCCAGAGAAGAAGGCGATGGAAATCGCTGATGCTTTGGGAAAAATACCTCAGACGGTAAGAACACTTCTTTATATTTGTCTTCACAAGAGTTCTAACCCCAGGTTTCGAGTATCTAAATTAATTCTATTAGTTGGATCTTTAGACTTGAGTTTCCTTGCCACTTCTCAGCTATTAATCCAAAGGTTATTTTTGTAACTTAAGTCTCAACTGCTCTGTTAGATAACGGCCCACTTCCCTCAGAATTCTTATTCCCTCTGAGAGACTAAAACATGTATTAAGGAGAATTTATTTAAGAAATAAAATAATAAGGAATATTGTTTCTACATATTAGATAGGAATATTTCTCCAAAAAGCTGTTGGTTAGGAGACTGGACTTATTTCCTATATTTCTGCTTTTATAGTTCTACACTCACTCATTTTATTAAGTAAACTTTTCCTCAAAGTGCAGGAAAGTGCAAAAATCCTAAGTACACAGTTTGATGAGTTTTCACAAAGCAAACACACCCATGTAACCAAACCCCAGAGCAAGAAACAGAACGTATTACCAGCCCCAGAAACCCCCCTATGCGCGACACCTCCCACACCTGCAAAAGTTGTGTTTGTTCAGAGGATCCCACTTTCTAGCTATCACGGCAGATTAAAAAAAATATTGTATCACGTTCTTTGTTTTTTCACCAATGACTGCCCTGACAGGGAACACAACAGAGAGTCCCTGATGGAGTGGGAGAAAAGTGGGGTGCAAAACTCAAATTCTAGTAAAAAGACCAGACTTAATGGTCTGGCTGAGACTGGAGGGACCCCGGAAGACATGGTCCCCAGACTCTTCATTAGCCTAGAACTGAAACCATTCCCGAAGCCAACTCTTCAGACAAAGATTAGACTGGACTATGGGACATAAAATGATACTCGTGAAGGGTGTGCTTCTTAGCTCAAGTAGATATATGAGACTAAATGGGCAGCTCCTGTCCAGAGGCGAGATGAGAAGGCAGAAAGGGATAGGAGCTGGTTGAATGGGCACGGGAAATCAGGGGTGGAAAGGAGGAGTGTGCTGTCACAGTACAGGGAGAGCAATCAGGGTCACATAACAATATATGTATAAATTTTTGTATGAGAGACTAACTTGAATTGTAAAGTTTCACTTAAAGTACAAAAAAAAAAAAAAAAACTCTTTCTTTTTTGGTTTCTGCAAGGTCCTGTGGCGGTACACCGGAAGTCGGCCATCTAACCTGGCGAACAATACCATACTTGTCAAGTGGCTGCCCCAAAACGATCTGCTTGGTATGTTGGAAGGATTTGCTGCGTAGGTCAACGAGTAACCAGTTGCCATTGAGTTGAGTCTGGCTAATGGCAACCTGTATGTGTGTCAGAGTAGAGCTGTGCTCCACAGGGTTTTCAATGACTGAATTTTCATAAGGAAAAGGCCAGGCTTTTCTGCCGAGGCACCCATGGGTGGATTTGAAATGCCAACCTTTCTGTCAGCAGCCAAGCTTATTAACCATTTGCACCACCCAGGGACTCTGAGTATAGGTCAAACCGAGGTTAAATGAAGAAAATGGCTTAGGCCTGGCTGTTCTAGAGGATTTTTTGGCCTGAAAATATTATGGCTGACATAGCCCACGTTGCTTTTTATTTTTTAAATAATATTTTATTGTGTTTTCAGTGAAGGTTTACACAGCAGTTTATGTTCCTATTCAACAATTTCTACACCAATTGTTCAGTGACATTGGTTACATTCTTCACAATGCATAAACCTTCTCAATATTTCTGTTCTGATTATTTCATTTCCATTAATCTAGTTTCCCTGCCCCCTTACATTCACATCTTTGTTTTAAAGTAATTGTTGACCGTTTGGTCTCATATAGATGATTTTTTAGAGCACAGTATTCATGGGTGATATTCTTTATTTTATGAATCAATCTGTTATTTAGCAAAAGGTGACCTCAGGGCTCGTTTTAGTTCAAGGTTTAAAGAGTATCTCAGGGCAATGGTCTTGGAGAGTCCTTTAGTTTCTACTAGTAAGTCCTTTTTTTTT